AGAGAGAGAGAGAGAGAGAGAGAGAGAGCAAGGCAAGGCAGACCGAGGCAACACAGTCCGAGCAGCCGCAAAAGACACAACCAGGAAGAGAAGCAAAGAACAGATCGAAGTTAAAAAACTCATGCTCAGATCCAAGGATATCCATAGCCAGCCACGAAACGAGCACCGGTGATGTCCCTCGACCGGTTTCATCTGCCCATCGAGCAGAACTCACCAGGAGGGTGAACGCAAGTTTGTGTGCCCAAAGAGAAGGCTGAAGTCGTGCCTCCCCTATTTAACAGATCTGGCAAAACCTTACTAACGAAAACTCAGAGCGCAGTGTACCCACCGAGTCCACCTACTCGTGTTGAGTCTAACGTACGACCCTGCTTTTCTACCATTCCTCGTTATGGCGACAACCAAGATTTAAACTACTCATGACGAAATGTAGCCGAAATGCTTACCAGGTTCATTACCTGCATCGTCCAAAATAAATCCGAAGTTTCTGAAAACTCCCGCAGTACTCAATCTAAGAAACCGTCTAGAAGCAAAAACCCTTTATCGTATAGCAGACCCCGGTCCGAAGTTACATCATGTATCCGGACGGGTAACCTAAAAGATTCACCCAAAAGTGGTAACAGCCCAGTGTAGCTACTGCCTAACTAAATCGAGGCCGACCGCGTGGATAAAGTGCAGGTCGGGTTGACAAAACGACAAAAGTTGAACCGTCCAGGCCAGAACCGATGGTCAATCACGTGTCGTCTACCCATKTCAAACCACAAGCCGTCGTAATTCACCGGGGCCCGTTCTCGTTCAGCCAGCTCACTWTGGACAAAAATAGCGCTGGGGTCCATCCACCAAACGGTCGTAGAGTGGGCCCCAAGATCGAGAGGAAAGCAAAATTTGGGAAACGTCTTTACCTAAACCTCCTCAAGCCCGCTCTTGCCGAGAGCGCTGCCAACATCTTTGTWAGTGCAACGTCTCCCGCAGCCTTGGCCGAATCGGCCAGGGCACCGAGAGAGACCTCCGAGGGGTACCCCCGGAGACGTGCTTCGCAGACCATAAAARCAACCGCCCCCCAGAACGAGCGGTTCGCTAGTGGAGTGGTACCATAGCCTCTTCATCGCGGCTGACAGTACTGCTCTTTTCACCTTCTTATCCGAGTACGAAGCGTAGTCCTGGAAGGTTCGGAACAACATTTTCCCAGTTTCAAACAAAGCTTCCGTGTTCTTCGTCCTAGGAACATAATGGAGCTGCAGCGGCTCATTCCCGATCATCATGGAACCTCCGAAAAAATCCCATTCTAGACCGCATTCCTCCTTATGTACGATTTCAAGGCTGACATCGTAGCACGCCTCAAACTGTTCGAAGAAGCGTTGCGGGTACCCCTCGTGGTGACCAGAAGAAGGTAGGCCAGCTACAACACAGATGTCGTCCATAATCCTCCATCCTGCCACTAGTCTCGTATCTGCCCCAAGTGCTCGGAGAAAACGTTCTTCGGCCATCACGCATGTGATTGAGGCCAGCACCGGACTTGTCGTCTTTCCCATAGGAATGCCGAAGACTTGCCTCATCACAGTCGGCGCACACTTGATGAAGGAGTGCTGGAGTTCAAACTTCACGGTCGTCAGAATTTCCTTCAGTCTAATACTGACATATCCGTCGTCCTTTCTAGATGTCTTACTCAGAATGCAGGACCGAGCTCTAAAAAAGACCATCACCTGCTTCCACTCAGCATCCTCGAATCGCCGCAGTAGCTGGTGAACCGACCTCAAGACCTCGTCATGGTGTATACGGGAAAACATTTCCTTGATGTTGTAGCATCTGCCAATGGCCTGCTCGCAACCTGCTGCCTTCAGCCTGTGTGTGGTCGCCTTCAGCTTGTCCGCAAGATCGGAGACCGAGTTGAGGAAGAATGAGGCTTGAGCAGAAACCCTCATCAGCAGGCAGTGCAGAGCCCTCGCCACTCTACGTTGGGCCAGTCCCGCTGGGTTAGCCGGAGCGGGAGCAATGGGTCTCCATCTATTGAGATCCTTGTGCTTGGGAATGACATAGGCAGTGCCTACGCGTCCTTCTCGCTTCCAGACCCCCAACTTGTACAAATCCGCTGCCAGAAATTCCCCCTCGCATCGAGCCAACGCCTTCAACTTCGTGATGCCTTTCCCTACCGACTCATAATTGGTGTTCCACAGGAAGGTCTTACCGAAAGTGTGATGGTAGAGGACCGTACAGATGACCGCCGTGTCGCCCCAATTCCTGTCTATCGGGGCCAGGACAAACCCCCTRAAATCCGTACTCCATTTCCGTACCTCGCCATCCGTCCAAACTACCGGTTGGTGACCATCAGTCCTGATGGTACCTTCCGGTACACTCAAAGTAACAACTTGAATTCCCAGATGCCTAGTGGCCTCGGAGATCACCAGTAGTATCGTTCGACCGTCCTGGGTGTTCACTGGCCAGGTGATATTCTTCGAGTTCCGTACGAACCACGATACGCGTTCGGTATCAAGATCCGCGAAACGCGTTGATACGTGCACGTCGGTCTTCGGCAACTTGGAGGAAGCGCAGGGGCAGGGCATCTCTTCATCTGTGGCGAAGAGCTTCTGGTTATGTAACAGCTCGCCGACCGTGCTATTCTTCCTCCAGATTACCCGAATCCGGYTTTTCACGAAGCTCAAGAGGTGGTCATCACCGATCTTCCGAGCAATCATCTCCTCCTCAGCCTTGCGAACCAGTGCCTTCCTGATCCGTGAATCGAAAGCTAGTACGATATTCACCCTTTTTCTCACACTGATACYCGTCGTCTCTRGCAGTGCTCTATCGATCTTCAGTCTTAAGGATAACTTCGACTTACCATYTGTCAGTATCCCTGCAGCCCTGTATATGCCAACCAGCTTGTTCGACGACATCTTGAGGAAAAACGACTTCGGCCTGGGCCTTCACAACAGCCCTATCAGGATGSCCCTATTAACCTCCGTAGTAGTCTTAGTCCTAGTGATTTTCATCCGCCCWGAACGTTCCTTTCACCGTAGTCAAGTTTGTCGCCACCTTCCCTGCCTTCACCCTACCTAGTTCGTTCTGTAATTGTTTGAAAAACGTGACCAAAGAAACAAGATCAATGCCGCCGGTCTGAAAGATGACCGGTCTGCAGTCAGGAACTCCCCGAGTCCAACCTTTCCTTTYCGTCCTACCCTTTTTATTCGAGTGCCTAACCCTCTTCTCCCGTCTCCTTAAGTCTCTCGAATTGAGACAAGGGCTMAGGTCAGCAATCAAAGACCTCTCATAGCTGTAGTCGTCCCCCCCCATGTCGCGTGCCTGATCGGTAGGACCAGATACTTGTCGGGGCCGAACGCTCGCATCCACCGGTACAGGTGGGGGGTCAATGCTATCACGTTATTCCTTGCATTCGCATAATGTTCTCTCCAACGTTGCACCATCGGCCTGACGGTACAACCGATGTATAGCTTCTTCATCCACGGGCTAACAACAKCATACACACCAGGAGATTTCAGACCGGTGAGAATCGTCAGACCATCCGATCTCGCCACGATCTTCTCAAGCCATGGTATAAGACCCCGTAATGTTAGGATCACGATCGAAGTCGTAATCAGAYTCTCGACTTTCCTTGTACGATCACCTCTAACCCCCTGCTCCCAMAGTACGGACCTAAGACGTAGAGTATTAGTTAGYGTGTCCCAGAGTTCCCTAGTAGTGGGAGTAACGCACCGTCAATCAGAGTCATCGTTCGGTTGCTCGCTTGCCGACTTCAAAGTAACTCGTACCTTGCGTCCCATCGGTGTCTCCTGCTTCTGCTTTCCTTTCTCTTCAGCTCGTTTCTGGAAWGTTGTTGTCTTAGTCGCCTCCTTCTCCTTATCAGGCTCAAAACCTCTAAGTCCCTTATAGGCTAACTCGACCTGCTGTCTTGCTAAGAGTTCGATGTTTTCGGGCTTCCTGGTGTACTTGATGCCCTTCCTGTCACAGATCCTCCTAAGGTCGGTAGCTKTCTTCGTCGAGAAGATCTTCTGAGCCGAGATACAGTAGCCGATGATGCCGCRTTGCGAACATTCTACAGAAACGCCCTTATATCCGGCAGTCAGCGGTGTCTTGGGTTCCGCCRCTTGCTCCGAAGTTTTGGCATCACATGCGTTACCACGAGTGTTCAAACCCGCCCGTTTGGAACATTCGCCCCTCGCGTTCTGTGGCGTTATCCCAATAGGTGAGAGCCTCTTCTTCCCCCTTGCCTTGTCTGTCTTCGTCCTCGCTCGTACTCTCCTTCTGCCCTTCCTGTTTCGCCGGTTCGCAGCGATCTCAGATTCCGTTGTCGGTCCCAGAGATTCGGACTGCTCGGATTCTCCTAAAGTCACTGACTCAGAAGATTTTGTGATGTAACGACAAGTCACTCGCTTCCTGCGCCAAATCCTTCTCACCGCTTTCACCTTCCTTCTCGGTGAAGATATTCGCTCCTTCGCTGATTCTCTTACCACAACCTCGACCTCTGATTTCTTCTTCCGCCATTCTTCATGCAGCTCCGCCYTGATCTTCAACTTTAACTCTTTCGCCTTCCGTTCGAAGTCATGATCTCTACAAGCTTCTTCCTCTTCCTTAGCCTTATTTTCTTCCTCGATTCTCCTCTTCTCCTCTAACTCCTGCCTCTCCTTCCTTGCTATCCTGTGCTGCTCCTTGATTTCTTTAAGTTCGGGATACTTGTCTGGCCATACCGCCCTCGGGCGGTCCAACATTTTTGGGCAAAGTGGCCCGTTTTCCCACAGTTGTAGACTCTGTACCTCGATTGCCAGCCCCATAGTTGGGGCTGCTAAAATCTGGTCCACTAATAGGACGCCCATGTATCGCCTGTCCACTGCTATTGGTATCGTATCCCGTATTACTTGTCGGGAGGGAGGACCCGGGTAATCCATTAGTATGATACATGTTGTTCCGATGAGTCTTCCTACCGTGAACCGGTGTATGAGACACGAGAGAAGAGAAGAAAGAGAGAGAGAAGAGAAGAGAGAGAGAGAGAGAGAGAGAGAGAGAGAGAGAGAGAGAGAGAGAGAGAGAGAGAGAGAGAGAGAGAGAGAGAGAGAACAATACATTTCAATCCGAAAGAACCCTAGTTGTTGTCAACGAGGTGAGTGTGGAAAGCTTCCCTTTGTGATGTATTGATTGATTATGCGGACTCACGCCCTCCAGATTTCGCTTACCTCCTCGTAGTTAATGTGTCTCCTGGAGCGCACTAAAAGCAGGATCCTACGGATCTTGTCAAGAACTACTCGAATTTTCCCATAGATCTTCGATCTAATCGTGGGGTCTTCTACGAATCATGCTGAGTAGAACATCGGCCTAATAGTCTGTCTGACGTACCTAGAAAGCAAAGTGATCAGACGCTNAGCGAACAATACATTTCAATCCAAAAGAACCCTAGCTGTTGTCAACGAGGTGAGTGTGGAAAGCTTCCCTTTGTGATGTATTGATTGATTATGCGGACTCACGCCCTCCAGATTTCGCTTACCTCCTCATAGTTAATGTGTCTCCTAGAGCGCACTAAAAGCAGGATCCTACGGATCTTGTCAAGAACTACTCGAATTTTCCCATAGATCTCCGATCTAATCGTGGGGTCTTCTACGAATCATGCTGAGTAGAACATCGGCCTAATAGTCTGTCTGACGTACCTAGAAAGCAAAGTGATCAGACGCTTTCGCAAATTCACGGTAGTGTGTAGCAAATGTCGTCTTCCGCAGCACATACACCTGGCCGGCATCTTGAAGTCATATGAGTAACAACCACCGATCACCGGCCYGATCCCGAGGCAAATGAAGCCTCCTCCAAGAAACAACGCGCCTATCACATCCCGAACACGTCCCATCCCTCGAAGGTTAGACTAGAATTAATGGCAAACAAGAAGATCTTCCAGCRTGTCAATACGTGATACGAAAACCTCCGAGTATATTCCTCAGAGCACCTTCGACCGGACGACTCCGCTACGCCGCGCTTCGCCRAGCCGGTACCAGGAATCACTTTGAAGCAAGCCGGACGGATCCCGCTCGAACGGAGTGGTCTAGCCGCAGTCCGRCTTATCTCACCGCCGCTCTATACTTGTCGTGTATGTCAGATCCCTCCATACGGACCTCGTACCCCAAGCCCGATACGCTAACTCACATGGAGCAGAAGGGTTCCTCCTCCCTACTTCCCGGTTGGCACCGTGCGGCCAACACCGAGTTTATACGGCCATCCCCGTCTACCTGTACGACCGCGAACTATACTACTCTACCCCGTGACACCCGATATAAGCACCTGACCCACTTACGGATACCAGTTGAASTATCCGCATATCAAGAAGCTAAGGCGAAGAAACTCACATTCCACAGTTCATCCTCGAAGAGGAAACAGTASGTAATCACTTCAACATCAAACCCCAGAACAGAAACTTCGAGCCCACGATCGAATAGTAGCCTARTCGAGGTCACACTCCGTAGACRTAGCCACCGACCAGCCTCTAAGCTACCGGTTACTATGTGCCYGAGAGCAAGGCAGACCGTGGCAACACAGTCCGAGCAGCCACAAAAGACACACCATGGAAGAGAARCAAAGAACAGATCGAAGTCAAAAAACTCATGCTMAAATCCAAGGATATCCATAGCCAGCCACAAAACGAGCACCGGTGATGTCCCTCAACCGGTTTCATCTGCCCACCAAGCAGAACTCATGAGGAGGGTGAACGCAAGTTCGTGTGCCCAAAGAGGAGRCTGAAGTTGTGCCTTCCCTATTCAACAGATTTGCCAAAACCTTACTAAYGAAAACCCATAGCACAGCGTACCCGCYGAGTCCACCTACTCGTGTTGAGTCCAACGTACGACCCTACTCTTCTACCATTCGTCGTTATGGCGACAACCCAGATTTAAACTACTCATAACGAAATGTAGCCGAAATGCTAACCAAGTTCATTACCTGCATCGTCCAAAATAAATCCGAAGTTTCTGAAAACTCCCSTAGTACTCAGTTTAAAAATCGTCTACAAGCAAAAACCCTTTATCGTACAGCAGACCCCGCTCCGAAGTTACATCATGTATCCGGACGGGTAACCTAAAAGATTCACCCAAAAGTGGTTACAGCCCTATGTAGCTACTRCCTAACTAAATCRAGGCCGAACGCRCGGAGAAAGTRCGGGTCGGGTTGACAAAACGACAAAAGTTGAACTGTCAAGGCCAGAACCGGCAAAGTCGTGATGGTCAATCACGTGTCGTCTACCCATTTCAAACCACGAGCCGTCGTAATCCGCCGGGGCGTGTTCTCGTTCAGCCAGCTCACTATGGACAAAAATAGCGTTGGGGTTCATCCACCAAACGGTGGTAAAGTGGGCCCCAAGATCAAGAGAAAATCGAAATTTGGGAAACGTCTTTACCTAAACCTCATGAAGCCCGCTCTTGCCGATAGTGCTGCCAACATCTTTGTAAGTGCAGCGTCCCCCGCAGCCTTGGCCAAATCGGTCAGGGCACAAAGAGAGAGAGAGAGAGAGAGAGAGAGAGAGAGAGAGAGAGAGAGAGAGAGAGAGAA